ATCTGCCCCTGCCCCACCCCCACCAAATTCTTTTAAGCAATTATACATATATATCCGATACTAGGTATTTACCATGAGAGTTAACCAGCCACTTGATTGTATGCTTTGCGTCCTCTGGTCCTCTGGTCCTCTGGCCTTGGAGGTAACGGCCCTGTGTATTTTCGTCGCCTGTCAACCGTATATTCTTAAATTACGATATTGCCCGAAATCGCATTTGTGAACCGTATATGAATTTTTTCCCCCTTTTTTGGATCAAAGCATTCAAATACTTTTTTTTTTTAAAATCAGACTATATAAATTCATTTTTTTCCGCTTTTTCCCCTTCATATATTACGGTCTTATTTTTCCAACCGTTTATTGGCTTTTGTGCACACTCTGGTTTGACATGAGTCTAGACTTGATTACGGCGGTGGACATTATCCGAAGTTCCATTTTTTTCCGAAAAATTTTATAACTGGATCTGATTCATGTATGTTCGTAAAATTTTTTGGTGAAGCAATAATCAGGCGATTTAAAGTTTAAACTAGCCCGTGTATCACATGACGTCTCTGTTTTTAACGCTAAGTTTTGAGGACAAGAAATTCAAGGTGATCGCGGATTCCGCTGGAACCTAAAATGTCTGTTAGAAACCAAAACTTTACTGACCCGCGGCTTTGTAAATTCTCAGTGGGATAGATTTATTATGTGCCACAGGTTTGAAGTGCAAAATACTACCTCACTCTGTTTGACTTTTTGTTTGGTCCTAATTATAAAACCCCAATCCATTTTGTCTCTCATATTTATTTATTTTTTTTCAAGATAGTTCTTCTAATAATGATAGTTCTAGTCAATACACTTAAGTAGTAAATGAATATTTCATCTTGTTCCTTATCTGGATGGGAAAGGAGACGAGTCCCTGGTACTCATGTTTGCGCTATTCAGATTGACGAAGGACAACTATCATATACAGTAATTCGATGTGGAAAAAAAAAAAAAAAGCCCTCCGCTGTTGTTATTTTTTGTCTTTTACCTTGCGAGGAAGGAGATCAGTTCAAAATAGTTTTCACATTTTTAACTATCTATGGCTTATTTTTTCATGTTGTCTGAGTTGAAAGTTTCACTGTTCTGTTATTAACCAGCAAATCTGCATTTTGAATCACATTCTAATTGATTATACTCGAAAGTCAAAATCTAAAACTTAAAACATGAGGAATTGTCTATAGGTATTGATCATTTCATCCCCACCATCCTTTAAAAATAGCCTTTCTATTCTGCACCAAGTCCCGGAAGGCCATGTAGGGGTATATTGGAGAGGAGGTGCTCTTCTGAAAACAATTACGGAACCAGGTTATAGTTTGCTTCTTGATTCTTGTTGTTGTTGCTGTTGTTTTTCTTTAGCATCCATTGGCCCAGAGTTTGATTCATGTTCTTCGAGCTTAATCTTTTAGGTTTTCACCTGAAGATGCCTTTCATAACACAGTATGAGCCTGTTCAAGTGACACTCAAGACAAATATGGTAAATTGTTTAGAGCAGTTTCTAAAATTGTGGTTTCACTTGGCAAATGGCACAGTAAGTTAAATTATTATTGTGACAATTGCAGGTGACAGCTATACTGTGTGGAACTAAAGGAGGCATCATGATTATTTTTGAGAAGATAGAAGTAAATATCCGTAACATAATTCATTGGCTGATCTTTTTTTTTTTTTTGCTTTATTAAATTTAAAATTTAAGTGCAATGATTTTTACTGTCACCGTTATTGTTCAATGAAGGTTGTAAACCGACTTCATAAGGAATATGTCTATGAGACATTGCTCAATTATGGGATGCATTATGAGAAGACATGGATATGTGATAAGATTCATCATGAGATTAATCAGTTCTGCAGTTCTCACAGTTTTCAACAAGTCTATATTGATATTTTTGATCAGGTAAAAGTGTCAAAGTGTCTCTCTCTTTTGGGTAATTTGATCAGAAAAAAGCTAACGCTTCAAAAATATATCTTTCATTGCTATGGTTAATTATTATATTCACTCTCATTTACGGATAACCTAAACACTACAAGCAACATGACACGCTAATTTGATGGACATTTAGGGATTGAGTTCTAGATTCTACTGTCTTTTCCTCAGAGTTGATGAAGGTCTTAGGTTCTGTTGTTGTCATAGAATTTATGATGACTCGTTGTAGTATTTTAGATTAGTGACTATATTAGGCATAATCTGTCTTCTAGTTTTTTTGTCCTTCTTATGATGATTACACACTGACATTTATGATGGCAACACGACTATTTTGGTTCATTCAGATTGGTAACAAGATGAAAGACGCGCTTCAAGCTGATTGCACCCGTTATGTTCCAGGCATTGAAGTTATCAGTGTCCGCGTCACAAAACCAAGCATTCCAGATAGAATCAGACGCAACTTTGAGCAAATGGAAGAGGAACGCTCTAAGGTAGCGTCTTGGCTCGATTTCTTTCTTTCTTTTTCTCTCTAAAAGCGTCTTCCTTTCTTTTGTGGGCTTAGTTTCTAAAATTGATGTTCAGCACATGTTTTTTGGTTGTGTTGGATAGGTCTTGCTTGCTATTGAAAAACAAAAAGTAGCTGAGAAGGAGGCAGAGACTTCGAAGAAGATGGCTATTAGTGAGGCTGAGAAAAATGCCAGTGTTAGGAAGATCCTTATGGGCCAGAAGTTGGCGGAAACAGAAGCTTTCGGGCACCAGCAACAAATTGAGAACCGTATGTACCTAGAACACGAGAAGACCCTGGCAGATGCGCATTTCTACCGGTGAGTTTTTCTATATCCCCTTGAAAGAAAGTTGATTGACACGACACAGTAATTCATCCTGCTAGAACAAAGAAATGATTAATGGCATTGGTTTTCCTTTTCCACTTTCAATTTCAAGGGCAACAAAAGAGGCTGAAGCAAACAGGTTGAAGCTTACCCCTAGATTTCTCGTGCTTAAATTCATCGAGGCCAATGCTAATAATACCAAGACAAGCTCCGGGAAGAAGATGTCTCGCCTCTGTCCATTCCTCGTCGCCCTGTTTCAAGGCCTGCTCTCGGCTAGATTTTTCCTCGGCCTCGGCCGGCGCTAAATAGGATTTCTGATCAGAGGCTACCCCAAAATGTCCGGGAAAACGTGTTTATTGAGACATTTGGGAAAGAGAATGGCGTTACTTATGAGGCATTCTTGCTAGGCTTCATAAGACCTAACAAGATGATATGTATAATAAAGTTGTACGATGTAATGTTTGGTTTGTTGTTATAAGTGCATTGTTGGATCTGCTTGCATGATTAACTTGAAAGACGAAGGACTCTTATTCCGTAAATAGATTAAAAAGCTACTTAATTAATTCCAAGTAAGCCTGATTGTCGTGCAATGAAGATCATGTAAATGATGCAAAATATTAACGAACCGGGGACAAGAAGTCGCTGCAGCCTGTAACAAAACCCCAAAAAAAGAAAAAGAAAAGATCGAGAATAAAGGAGAGAGGAGCTTAGGCACGGAGAAGGGAGAGGAAAGGAAAGGGATGAGAGAGAGACACACACCTGAGTGGGATGACGGCTGCGAGCAAGAGATAAGGCAACAGACAGAGTGACGGAGCGCGAGCGCAAGCGCAAGCGCAAGAGTGGCCTGAAACCTAGTTACAGTAAATACATGAGCAAACAAATAGGGATGTCCAAGGAGGGGACGTTTTGGAGATGATCCGGAATCCCTCCCCGGCCCAAATTTATTCATAACGTCCACTCTCAAAATTTTTGGGTTGGATCTGTCTCAAATTAATTAATGTACTAAATCTTATATTAAAAAAAATGAATTATATATTTATATCTAAGGTGGAGCATGATAAGACATAACAATTTTATAAAAACTCATCCATTGAGATCTTATCAAAATGTTACTTTACTGGGATAAAACATATTTTTGATTTACGAAAAAATTTCATATATAATCTACTCGTATTGATGGAATAACTATTTATTTAATTTGGATAAATTGAAAAAATTAAGTAAATTTCTTTATTACAGTACATATCACCATATCTTCATAAAATAATCTTATATAACATTAGACCATATATTAATTTAAAAGTTAGATACATTAATTTTAAAAAGTAAATTAAAAGAAAATAAATTAATATTATAATCAAAACTCACACTTAAATTGTGCCTAACTATGTTTAGTAGAGAGGAGTAGTATTTTATATTGCATCAGTTCTTAATATTACTTTTGATCATTAATATAAAAGTTAGTTGACTAATTTGAATATATTAATAAAGTTTCTTTCACATACTTATCTTGTGTTCTATAATAAAGTTTCTTTCACATACTTATCTTGTGTTCTATAATCACTATTAAAGGGCTTCTTTTAAATAATCATGCTATCATTCCAAAGAAGCACTAAGTTAGCGTAGCGTGATAAGAATTTCTTCGTGCCGACCCCTTTTATTGGCGTTCTGATTATAAATCCGAGATGCATTGTGACACTGAGATGGCATTGGCACAATTCTAACGAGTCGATGTGGACTTGGAAGGAATCAAAGTGAGTGGATAAGGCGTGCGTTCCTAATGGAGTTTTAATTTTGTTTTCAACTTTTTCCATATTAAAATAAATAAAAACATAATTAATTTTGTATTGAAAGTAATAAAAGAACGTTTTAATTGGTTTAAATTGAATTTAAACATGCCAAATTACTCAAAATATATGCAAATAGCCAATTTTCCTTTTGAATATGTTCATGCCTCGGGTACAATATTTGTAAATTGCCATTAGGCTATTGTCGAAACCTGTGGCAAAGATGCTTGATAATTTGCTCGTAAAAACCTTCTTATAACTGTTTGGAATGTTTATAAGTAATTTTTTAATTATGATTTATAGAATATGAAGTAAATATATAAGATGAGTTTTGTCTCAACTTATAAAAATATGAGTTTATAGGGGCTTATAATTATGCTTCCAAATGGATCCTTAGCTTATGATGATCCTAGTTTATTCTATCGTGATGGACTTCGGGTTAAAATGGCCCTTCCATGTCGTGTCTTGTCTTCTTCATTGAGCATGCTGGGCTTGCTTGCCAATGTTGTGGTGGGTTTGCGCAGCTCCCAGGACACTGTGAGAAGCAGAGTAAGATCACTGGGCCAAGGTCAGCCCAAATAAACTTCTATGGGTTTTGACGTCAAAACCGAGCACCAGCCAGCCTAAAATGTCTCTCTAGCCGCAGAATTCATTAAAAACGTGGCCCAAGTACATGGGTGTTCAACTTTTCTCCTACGCCTATGGGTGTTCATGAGACCCAGTAGCCCGGTATACCCGTCAAAGCCCGCTAAAAAAATACCCTGCCCAGCCCAAAAAATACAGCCCGAAGAAAACAAATAGGCATTTTCGGGCTGGGCGATTCATGGGCAGGGTCGGGTCGCGGGCATGGCATGCAGCTCTGCCCGAAATATATATATATAATTATTTATATTATAATATATTTTTTTCAGAATTATATTATATATAGTGTAATATTAATATACTATATTTTATTATACTTCAATACACCAAAAAGAACACTACTCCCTTGTATTATTAGACTTTATATTTTTAAAGTTCTGGTTTTTTTTAAAAAAACATACCACCTTTTTTAACTTTTTAAAATTACCTTGTTGTGTACTATAATTGTCTTTTAACTTTATATGTTGATATTACTTCATATATCATGAAATGATACTAATTATACCAATTTAAATGTAATATATAGATCTCTATAAATTATATTATACTATAATTTAATAATATAATTGAACATGTTAATATAGCTTGTATTTTTTTTATATGTTTTGTTATTTTCTCAACTTTGTGGAGGTTGATGCAAATCATTTGGACTTTAAGGCTTTAATTACAATTTTTTTATTGTCTTGTTTTTAATAAATTATGGATATTGCTAAATTCTTAATGCATAGACATCTGTTAAGACATACGACAGTTTCATGTTTTAAGTTATAAATTTGGGCAATGAAAGCTCGCCCTGCCCAAAATAGCATGGGCTTCTACTGGGCAAGGCTAGGCATCGGGCTATGTTTTGCAGCCCGCTTATCCTCCGGGTTGGGCATCGGGTAGGGGTCCTGTCCTGCCCAGCCCTGCCCATGCACACCCCTACCTATGCCTGTTCTTTGCGCCACCCATCCTTTGACTCCCCCTAGCGCCCCCCTCCCCCCAAAAAAAGAAAATCTAAACCTGCCATCTTTACTCAAGGGCAAATAATCAAAAAAGCGAAAAGAAAAAATAACAAGAAACTAAAAATTACTAAATATCAAATCAAGTTTTGTAACAATATTTTATTAGTGTTGACAATAATAAATTTGCAAATGATAACAAATTTTTATGAATGTTCTTTATATGGTATTTACAAATTTTCAACTTCTTCTTTAGTCATTTTCCCAAATGAAAAAGAACAAATTTGTTTCCATTAGTTTGAGATAATTTTTTTTTCCAATCCATTATTTTGAGATGGTCGATTTTATTATTCTTTAAAAAATTAATTTGATAATCCTTATTAGTTTTCTTGAATTATAAATATTAGTTCCTACACTCATAATCTGTTGATCATGATTAATGTGAATACCATATATACAACTGAAAAGGATACTTTTAAAAAAAAATTTATTTATTTACGGTAAATAAAAGAGATTTTAATACAGCGGCTGAACCCAATTTTGAAGTTTTGAACTACCGGTGAGACGCCCGCCGGTATCCTACTTTTTCTCCGATGTTTCTACTTTTCGGCTGAGCTCCTTAGAGGGTAAATCTGTAATTCCACAGAATGTTTCACACGTCTTACGTCTCAAGGGTGACGCAGGGTGACGAGGGCATCCTTCCCACTTTGTTTTTTTTTTTTTGGTAATTGGATTGCCACTATTACTTCTCAAATGTCTAGCCTTCTTCTGGGACTCAGTTCCTGTGTTATCATTCTTTGCTCATCCCTCCCCGCCATAAGTGAAAGTGAAAGACGTGGATTCGTTGTTCTGTGACTGGGCAGGTAGCGCAGAGAATCGCCATGAAGCCGAATCAACGGAGGACTGATGCTCATCACCCGCCTTCTCCAACGCAAGCCTCCTTCATTCTCACTCTTTCTCTCCCATTCATCGCCGTTGCTGCCATGGTAACCTTCACCTTCTCTCCCAATGTTCCATTTGCTGAACTGCTGTGCATATGTATACTCTGTTTTGTTCTTCCATTCTGCATCTCACTTTTAATACAAACAAGCCACCTTGTTCTTTCAGCATCAGCAACACTACATCATCTCTATACGCAACTCCACATCCTGCCACCTTGATATCACTGAATTTGTTTCAGTAATATGGCTTATGCTCTCCTCTTTTTTTCCCCTTCATCGGCATAGATTTCTTATGTTCCTTAGGTTTCAATTCTTTTGTGGGGGACTTTTTCTCTGGTGCTCATGTTTGTGCTATTTAGTTTGAGGAATGACAATTATCATATATACTACTTCCGGTCCTAATTATAAGAGTTAGTTAACTAATTTGAGGAGATCAAGGAAAAAAGTTAAGTTAGTTATTTGTCATAAATAAATATTATCTTTCTTAAAATATCCTTACTAATCAAGTGTATTGGCTAAAACTACCATTGTTAGAATGACTATCTTGAAAAAAAAATACATAAATATTAGAGACAAAGTAGATTGGGGTTTTATATTTAGGACTAAAATAAAAATCAAATGAGGTCCTATATTAAGGACCAGAGGTAGTACTAATTACCTATGGCTTACTTATTAATGTTGTCTGAGTTGAAAGTTTCACTGTTCTCTTATTAAGCCGCAAATCTGCATTTGGAATCACATTCTAGTTGATTATACTGGAAAGTCAAAATCTAAAACCTAAAACATGAGGAATTGTCTACAGGTATTGATCCCTTCATCACCCTTTAAAAATAGCCTCTCTATTCTGCACCAAGTCCCGGAAGGCCGTGTGGGCGTATATTGGAGAGGAGGTGCTCTGCTGAAAACAATTACAGAACCAGGTTATAGTTTGCTTCTTGATTCTTATTGCTGCTGCTGCTGCCCCCCCCAAGCATCCATTGGCCCAGAGTTTGATTTATGCTCTTGGTGCTAAATTTTCTAGGTTTTCACTTAAAGATGCCTTTCATAACACAGTATAAGCTTGTTCAAGTGACACTCAAGACAAATATGGTAAGTTGTTACAGAGCAGTTTCTAAAACTGGTTTCATTTGGCAAATGCACAGTAAGTTGAATTATTATTGTAACAATTGCAGGTGACAGGCATACAGTGTGGTACTAAAGGAGGTTTCATGATTAATTTTGAGAAGATAGAAGTAAATATCCATTTCATCGGCTGATCTTTTTTTTTTTAATTAAATTTAAAATTTAAATGCAATGATTTTTACTGTCACGTTGTTGTTCAATTAAGGTTGTAAACCGACTTTATAAGGAATATGTCTATGAGACATTGCTCAATTATGGGATGCATTATGACAAGACATGGATATATGACAAGATTCATCATGAGATTAATCAGTTCTGCAGTTCTCATAATTTTCAACAGGTCTATATTGATGTTTTTGATCAGGTAAGAGTGTCAAAGTGTCTCTCTCTTTTGGTTAATCTCATGTGGAAAAAGTCAACGCTTCAAAAATGTATCTTTTATTGCTATAGTTAATTATTATAGTCGCTTTCATTTACGGGTAACCTGAACACTACAACGTTCAAGCAAGATGACACGCTGATTTGATGAACATTTAGGGATTGAGTTCTAGATTCCACTGTCATTTCCTCAAAAAGTTGATGAAAGTCTTGGGTCTTACTGCTGTTATAGAGTTTATGACGACTCATTGTGGTATTTTAGAGTAGTGCCTAGAGTTAAGTATAATCTGCCTTGTAGATTTTGTCTTTCTTATGATGATTACATGCTAACATTTATGATGGCAACACGACTATTTTGGTTCATTCAGATTGGTAACAAGATGAAAGACGCTCTTCACGCTGATTGCACCCGTTATGCTCCAGGCATTGAAGTTATCAGTGTTCATGTCACAAAACCAACCATTCCAGATAGCATCAGACGCAACTTTGAGCAAACGGAAGAGGAACGCTCTAAGGTAGCGTCTTGGCTCGATTTCTTTCTTTCTAAAATCATCTTTTCTTTTTTGGGCCAAATTTCTAAAATTGCTGTCGAGCATGTTTTTGGATGTGTCGGATAGGTCTTAGTTGTTACTGAAAGACAGAAAGTAGCCGAGAAGGAGGCAGAGACAGCGAAGAAGGTGGCTATTATTGAGGCTGAGAAAAATGCCAATGTTAGCAAGATCCTCATGGAGCAGAAGTTGGCGGAAAAAGAAGCTTCCGGGCGCCAGCAACAACTTGAGAATCGTATGCACCTCGAACGTGAGAAGAGCCTGGCAGATGCGTATCTCTACCGGTGAGTTTTTCTAGATTCCCTTGAAACAGAGTTGATTAAAACAACACAAGTAATTTATCCTGCTAGAACAAAGAAATGATTGATGGCATTGGTTTTCCTTTTCCCCTTTCAATTTCAAGTGCAACAAAAGAGGCTGAAGCAAACAGGTTGAGGCTAACCCCCAAATTTCTCGTGCTTAAATTCATCGAGGCCACTGCTAATAATACCAAGACAAGCTCTGGGAATAAGATGTCTCGCCTCTGTCCATTCCTCGTCACCGTGTTTCAAGGTCTGCTCTCGTCTAGATTTTTACTCGGCCTTGGCCGCCGCTAAATAGGATTTTTGATCAGAGGCTACTCCGAAATGTCTGGGAAAACGTGTTTATTGAGACATTTGGGAAAGAGACTTGCCTTATTTATGAGGCATTCTTGCTAGGCTTAATAAGACCTAACAGGATGGTATGTATTATAATGTTGTACGATCTAATGTTTGGTTTGTTGTTATAAGCACATGATACGTATTATAATGTTGTACGATCTAATGCTTGGTTTGTTGTTATAAGCACATGATACGTATTATAATGTTGTACGACGCAATGTTTGGTTTGTTATTATAAGTGCACGTTTGGATTTGCCGGCATGATTAACCTAAAAGAAGAAGTACTCTTATTCTGTAAATCGATTAAAAAGCTACTTAATTAATTCCAAGTAACCCCTAATTGTTGTGCAATGAGGATCCTGTGAATGATGCAAAATGTTAATGAACCGGGAACAGGAAGTTGCTGCAGCCTTTAACAAAACTCGCCAAAAAAAAAAAAAACACAGAAGAAGATCGAGAGTAAAGGAGAGAGGAGGTTAGACACCGAGGAGGGAGAGGAAAGGACAAGGGATGACAGAGGGAACACACCTGAGTGGGATGACCGCAGCGAGCAAGAGCAAAGGAGAGAGACAGACTAACGGAGCGCAGCCGAAAGAGGTCTGAAACCCTAGTAACCGTGAAACTCCGAGTGAGGGTAAAATTCAGTAGTTACCATAAACACTCAGGCACCAAAACAAAAAAAACCGTAGTTACCATAAATACGTGAGCAAATAAATACGGATGTCCAAGGAAGGGATGTTTCGCAGAGGATCCTGAATTCGTCCCTGGCCCAATTATATTGAGCCCGACTCGTCATTAAGCCTTATAATAAGAATAAAAAATAACATAAAAAAAATTATATTTATATCCACGGTCGGGCATGATATAACAATTTTAGAAAAGCCCATCCGTTGAGATGCAAACGTAACTTTACAAGGGATAACACATAATTTTGATTACGAAAAAATTTCATATATAATCTACCCGCATTGATGGAATAACTATGTATTCAATTTGGATAAATTCAAAAAATTAAATAATTTTTTTTACAATACATGTCACCTAATCTCCATAAAATAATCTTATACAACATTAGACTCTATGTTACTCCCTCCAATCGTATTTATAAGCCTTAAATTGGAGGGGAAGTGTGATCCAATTTATAAGCTTCAATTTAGTATTTGTCTTAACATTTAATGTATTTTTTTAATTTTATTCTTAATTATTTATTCTCTCTTTTTATCATAATCTCTCTTATCACATTTTTCTACACATTTTCTTTCATCTCTTTTTTTTTTTATTTACTATAAGGGTGTATTTGAAAACAAAAGTATATTTTTTTTTGACTAATTTTAACTAATTGTTCCTTATCTGCCAATTAGTTATTTGAAGCTTATAATAAGAAAATGAGGGAGTAATTTATAAGTTAGACAAATTAATTTTAAAAAGTAAAATAAAAGAAAACAAATTAATATTGTAATCAAAACTCATCCTTAACTTGTGCCTAACTAACTATGTCTAGTAGAGGGGAGTATTTTATATTGCATGAGTTATTAATACTACCTTTTGTCCTTCGTAACAGAGTTAGAAAATTAATTTGAGTAGATTAGGATAATTGGTTAAATTAGTTATTTGTAATAAATATATGTTGTCTCTTTTAAAATACTCTTACTAATTAAGCGTTGTTGGATGAAATATTTGATAGATATGACTATTACAAGAACTATTTTAAAAAAATAAAATAAACTGAGTATTATATTTAATACTAAATTAAAAGTCAAATTAGTTTTAGCATTCAGTGAATAGTTTTAATACTACCTCTGGTCCTAATTATAAGACCCAGTTGACTTATTTGAGGAGATTAAGGAAGTAAGTTAAGTTAGTTATTTGTAATAAATAAGTATTGTCATTCCTAAAATATCTTTATTAATTAAGTGTATTTTTCTAGAACTATCATTATTAGAAGGACTATCTTGGAAAAAAAATATATAAATATGAGAGACAAAATGGATTGGGGGTCTTATAATTAGAACCAAACAAAAAATCAAACGGGGTCTTATATTAAGGACCGGAGGTAGTATTAAGTAAGAAGGTAGTATAAGAGAGAGTCGCGAGAATCCCCTCCATGGAAAGTCGCGGGTTCGTTGCTCCAAAAGTCTCCACTCTTGCAAAGTCAGGGGATGCACGGTGTGTGTTTTTTAGCGTGATTTTTGTCATAATTTTATTAAACAAAATGGTAATTTTATTTGCTATGATTTCGCTGATTTTTCTTCTAGTTTGAATAGTCAAAAAGCACCAGGATCGCACCGTCAAAGAGATGAAAGAAACCACTAAAGAGAATAGCTTGATGTATATGGTTGCGACGTATAAGATCATGAACCCTCTTCGTGTTGCTTACCTGCTTTCCATTAAAATTATCATATTGTAAACAGTTTTGGGGGAATGGGTATTGGGTACTGCCACGGTTGTCTTTTCCATGCTTAGGCTACTCAAGTTATCTAGTTTTGGTCTTTTTTCCTTTTATTTAGTGTGTTGTAGTGTTCCGCTCGTGCGTTTCATTTTGTTTGTTATGCGTGCAAGCCTGGGTATTGCAGTATGAGATCCATGGGAGTTTCTTCCCGGCTAGTGTCAAGTTTCAATCTGCTGGAACCTTTTTCAGTTGCCCCTGAGATACCTTTGCCTTTACCTTGTATTTGGTACGAAAGAAATGGAAGGAAGAATGGCAAGAGAGATAAAATTTTAATAAGCTCAATTTTAAAAAAATTAAAGAAGTAGGGTTTTAAAATTTTAATAAAAAGAATATGTAAGATGAAAAAATAATAGAATTTAATTAAAAATTCTACTTCTTCAATTTTTAAATCGAATTAATTAAAATTTTTCATCCTTTTTATTTTCCTCATACCAAATGAATCCATGGGAATTAAAATTTTTCATCCCTTTTATTTTCATTGTACCAAATGAATCCATCGTACCTTTAGATGGTTTATGCTCCGCACTTTTCTTGGTGCAAAGGATACAAGTGGCCATCTTGTCCTCCTCATAATTAAGGACCTGATTATTAAGTTAATTTATTTTAAATGTAAGACATATTTTTTATATTTATCAATTTTTTCAAATTATTCCTACTGATACTCTCTCAACCATAATCAAGTAAAAGAGAGAAGGAAGATATTAAAAAAAATAATTATGGTATTTTAAAAAAATATATATCATATTTCTTATAATTTATTAATTTACTTAACTTTCTTAATCTAATCAAATAAATTAAATAGGTCCTACTACCTCCTTATTTTAAGAACTTGTTTGACTTTCAATTTAATTTTAAATATAAGGCCTCAGTCTATTTTATTTTTCATATTTACCTATTTTTTAAAGTATTTCTTGCAGACTGCATATGTTAAAAGTTCTGCTAAATGATAATTTTACCTGGTACATATTATTAGTAAAAATATTTTAGGAAAGACAACACATATTTATTACAAATTACTAACTTAATTAATTCTTTTAATCTTTTCAAATTTGTTAACTAGGTCTTATATTAAAGACAATAGATAATATACTACCTCTGATTCTATTTATAAGATTTTGTTTGTAATTTATCTTAATAATAAGATCGGATATACTATTAAGTACTCATCTTGCAACGTGCAGGTTGCTACTTTGTCACTCCTCGTTTCTGTTATGTGCTTTGAGTTATGCTTGTTTTAGGTTTTGGAGTTTCTATGGGTTGGGCTTCTCTAATTTTGTGTGTGGTCGTCGTGTAATGACGCCCAATAATTATTATATAACACATAAAATGGATATTCCACTTAATGAACATAGAACTGAACTGTACAAGTAATTTACTATTTGTGATTTTATCTACAAGACTTCGTTCATAAGTTATAAATAAGATCTTATAAATAGAATCAAATAAATAGAATCAGAGGTGGTACTACCATTTAAGTTTCTGAAACCCAGTGGAGACACCAATTATCTTATAAAAAAATATGAACCCCCTGATCATGATAAAGTAGATTGGAGTCCGTGAATGAATATATTAGGCTTTTCTTTTTACTGATATGATATGAACAGTTTTAAATAAAAAATTCAAATGCTACATTATGAAATATAAATCGTTCCATGGGTGCTACGTCGCGTATTATTTTTGTTGTATCACAACCTGTGAAAAAGCATTAATGTTTGAAAGTCAATTATACCTAATGCATAGGAATGCTTTTTGATTGAGAGCTCGTTCCCCAAGGAAAGTAAAGATAAAATATGAGCAATACGTTCATGTAAAATAATAAAAAAATTGAAATTAAAATAATTTTTACTGATTGTTATGATAAGCAGCATAACTACTATAAATCGAATGTTAGTTAAAAACTTCCTAAACAACCAATTTTTTTTAAAAAAAGATATTATAAAAGGAATCAAGAAAGCAATAATATCATAGTCTCACTGAGATTGAAAAGTCAAGCCGGGCAAAATCAGAAGCCAGCAAGCTTTATGATTTGAAAAGCACTTACAAATGGGAACTATATGAATAATAAAAATTATTTAAATAAGAAATGTTTGGAATGTTTATATGATACTCGTAACCTTTTTTTTTTTTTAAAAGGACTGGACTGCTTGGTGCTTATCACTTATATTTTTCATCCGATTTTCTTTTTAAAAGAAGGAAAAAAAAGGAACAGTCTTTTTTTAATTTCTATTGGAGTTTTTATTTTTGTTTTAACTTTTTCCAAATTAAAATAAATCAAAACATGATTAATTTCCTATTGAAAGTAATAAAAGAACATTTTAATTCAGTTAAATCAAATTTAAACATGCCAGATTACACAAAATAAAAAAGAAAGAACAACAGATAAAGGCAACCATTTTGTAAGCTAATTTATATTTATCCGTTTTGAAAATTGAATAGACAGAGATAATATCAAATATAAATAATAATTATATGAAACATAAAATTGATATTGAATTTTGGTTTGTGAATCCCAGCAATGAGGGGGTTTCTTAGACGAAGTGAAGGATTGGCCCAAAAAAAAAAAGAAGTGAAGAAAGGAAGCACCGGGGAAGCATCCTGCAATGGTGCATGGACTCATACGATAAGATGATAGGCGTAGGCTGAAGCGGATTGATGATGCGAGTATGCGACAACTCCTCTTCTTTTTTACCAAAAAAAAAAACCTTCTCTTCTTTTTATTCCACCGATTGTCATGGGTCCCACTGTTCGCTCCTGTTATTCGTCCATTCTTTGATCTCCCACCTGCAAACTTAGCCAGCCCGCCCAGCAGCAGGAAATTCCGCAAAGAAATTTTCTCCCATCAGTACATTAGTTTTTTTTTTTTTTAAACTATTGATATGCTGTAAACAGTTTTCAAAAAAAAAAAACACCCAAATGCTCCATTGTAAAAGAATATTTACCGGATTCCATTGAGGAACGATGGCCGCTGTCGTTATCCAACAATAGCCGCAGGACCTCACGGAGTTGGGCAAACATTCTTTACATGAAAAATAGTTTGAAGTCACACATGTGGTCCCCAACACGAGCTATGTTAATTGGTCCTTGTCTAGGTAACATGTACCTCGTTCCTCGTCATGGGCTCTATGGCAAATCTGTTATTTAACAGCAGATCCCTGTCTCAATATATGTCAATCCCCTGAGGCCCATGGCTTTGTCACTTTCTGTTCCATAAGAAACTGAATACTCTAGCTTTTCCGGGACTCATTTCCTCTGTTATCATTCTTTGCTCGTCCCTCTCCGCCATTCGTTGTTCTGTGAGTGGGCAGGTGGCACAGAGAATCGTCATGAAGCCAAATAAACAGAGGACTGATGCTCATCAGCCACCTTCTCCAACGCAAGCCCCCTCCATTCTCACTCTTTTACTCTCATTCATCGCCGTCGCTGCCATGGTAACCTTCACCTTCTCTCTCACTGTTGCATCTGCTGAACTGCTGTGTATATGTATACTCCGCTTTGTTCTTCCATTCTGCATCTCACTTTGAACACAAACAAGCTCCCTTGTTCTTTCAGCATCATTTCTATACACAACTCCACATCCTGCCACCTTGCCACTCCCTCTAGCACCCCCATCAGTGTTCAAATTTTTTTTGGATCAAAGTATATAAATTCTTTTATTGATTTCGCTGAATTTGTTTCCGTAATATGGTTTATGCTCTCCTCTTTTTTCCCCCTTCATGTACAACATTTTAAGCTGATTATGGTTTTTTATTCCCCAACTGTTCATCGGCTTTTGTGTGTACTCTGGCTTGCAATCTGGTCTAAAGTGGATAACGGTGGCAGACATTATACCTAGTTCCGGATTTTTTTTTTAATTTTATAAATGGATCGCTGTAAACTAAAATGCTCGTTACGCGCTAAATTTTCATTGGCATAGATTTTCTTATGTGCCTCAGGTTTGGGGTGGGGGGCCTTTTTCTTTAGAGCTCATGTTTGTGCTTTTTAGTTTGAGGAATGACAATTATCATATATGGTAATTACCTATGCCTTATTTATTCGTGTTGTCTGAGTTCAAAGTTTCACTGTTCTGTTATTAACCAGCAAATCTGCAGTTGGAATCACATTTTAGTTGATTATACTCGAAAGTCAAATCTGAAACTTAAAACATGAGGAATTGTCTATAGGTATTGATCCTTTTATACCCATCATCCTTCAAAAAAAGCCTTTTTTTTCCTGCACCAAGTCCCGGAAGGCTATGTGGGCGTATATTGGAGAGGAGGTGCTCTTGTGAAAACAATTACAGAACCAGGTCAGAGTTTGCTTCTTGATTCTTGTTGTTGCTGTTGTTTTTCTTTGGCATCCATTGGCCCAGAGTTTGATTCATGTTCTTGGTGCTAAATCTTCTAGGTTTTCACTTAAAGATGCCTTTCATAACACAATATGAGCCTGTTCAAGTGACACTTAAGACAAATACGGTAAATTGTTATAGAGCAGTTTCTAAAACTATGGTTTCACTTGGCAAATGACACAGTAAGTTAAATTATTATTGTAACAATTGCAAGTGACAGGTATACAGTGTGGTACTAAAGCAGGTGTCATGATTAATTTTGACAAGATAGAAGTAAATATCAATAACATAATTCCAATCTGATCTTATGTTTTGCTTCATTAAATTTAAAATTTAAATGCAATGATATTTACTGTCACCATTGTTGTTCAATCAAGGTTGTAAACCGACTTCATAAGGAATATGTCCATGAGACATTGCTCAATTATGAGATGCATTATGACAAGACATGGATATATGACAAGATTCATGATGAGATTAATCAGTTCTGCAGTTCTCATAGTTTTCAACAGGTCTATATTGATGATTTTGCTCAGGTAAAAGTTTTAAGCATCTCTTTCGTTTGGGTAATATGATCAGGAAAAAGTTAACGCTTCAAAAATGTGTCTTTTATTGCTATAGTTAATTATCATAGTCGCTTTCATTTGCGGGTAACCTGAACACCACAAGCAATATGACACGCTGATTTGATGATCATTTAGGGATTGAGTTCTAGATTCATTGGCCGTCTTCCTCAGCACACTTACCTTGACTACACAATCACCAATCTATTGGCCGCTGTACTCATTGCTCTCACTTTTGGTGAGATTGGCAAGAGCACCCCTGATAAACCAAATTTCATTGATCAGCTTTATCAGGTGGATATTCATTGTATTCAAAGTATCATCGTGTGGAAAAATTACAGAAGTTGGATAGGCTGTTCTTGTTTCAAGGCAAGATGCGTCACAATTGGATGATGCTAATCCTAAAGAATCACTATCAGGAATTGAACTACAAGTGCTTTGATTTAGGAACAAGTGTCCATATGAAATAACTTTGACATTCTCAATTGAGTGATTGTTATGATTATGCTTGCATGTAGATTGTGATTACGTAGATCGTTATGAAGGCCTGGTGTTTGTAATCAAGAAAAAGCTTACATGACGACGTCTAAAACCTAAATATAACTTGTATGGTTTATTGATAATGAACGTCTTAAACCTATCAATGTCCTAAAATTGATATTAAGGTTCTTCTAGTGTTACGTACTTAGTTTACTATGAACTGTCTTGGACACTACATTGCATATTATTGCTCACAATTGGTTTATGATTTACAAAGGTGTTCTGTGACAGGATAACTGGCCCTCTGTTCTGTTTGCAATGGGGAGTGGTGTTGTACTTACCATTGGGAATTTGTCCACGCAATATGCTTTGGCTTTGGTTGGTTTATCAGTTGCGGAAGTGGTATCAGCAAGCATAACTGTTGTCATAGGTATTGTGCCCTCATACCCCCTAAAGAAGAAACATTTAAAAAGGGTAGAAATGAAAGGAATCACTTGTCTTATGTGTGTAACGGGCCTAATTTCCACCTCCAACATTTATGTCAGAAGGCTTAAATTTGAGCCCTTTTTACCAGGCCAATAAGTTTTGAGGCAACCCTTCCATGAATAAATACGCATGTAAGAATATGTGTGCACGAGCTATGCATTCAACGAAAGTTTCTGAACCTTTTCTGAACCCCTAAATATATGCAGCTTGCTCAAGTACTGAATTTCCCCGCACTTTCTCTGTCTACTGTAACAGGCACAACTGTGAATTTCTTCTTGGATGATGGGATCAATAGAGCTCAGATTCTTTTCCCAGGAGTTGGTTGCTTTTTTATTGCAGTTTGTCTTGGTTCAGCTGTGCATTCATCTAACATTTCGGATGATGAAGCCAAGCTCAACAATTTGGCAGATGAATGCAAAGATGGAGCCATGTATGTCTTTATTTACCTCTGTGTATGGATGCCACTAAGTATAGGCGTTAAAATTATATCACTAATGCCACTAACTGATTCAGTATATCTACTTGTTTTTAATCCTCTAAACTTGCTTCTATTATTTTGCCTTCTTTCATCCTCTGTTTTACTTTGTTAGGTTGTAAAAGATGATATCACAAGAAATGCTTGAGCTTGGTGCATTTATTTAGTTGAGAACATGTGGTAGCATCAAGCCGAATGTGGTAGCATACTTATAGGATCTCCCTGGGAGGGGATATGGATTTGGGCAAAACTAAAGTACGTCCCTGACTGTAATACCAAAATGAGAGAGGACGTGCTGAATTGTCTTAGCTATTATGTAAACTCTAAATAAGCTAAACTTCTTAATAAAACAATGGAAGAGTAAGCCAAGCTTGCCTCCATTTCAATTAATGGTAGAAGTAATCCACCAAAATAAAGTAATATCTTATTCCTCTCTGTTTTCAAAAAGAAATTGAGTTCAGAAACACCGTCATATCAGTTGATCTGATGATGTTAACTACCCAGCTTTTTGTACTACTTTTAGGGGCTTATGTTTTTGCAAGCATAGGCAGTTCATTAGGTTTTCTTTTTGGCTTGGTGGGGGATCCAATGTATGCTGAGATCAATTCTGGGCAAGGGAAGGAGGAGAAGAGACAGGAGATTGGAACCCCAACGCATGCAGCCATTGTAGCTTTTTGAGCGCTGATTTAGGTCTAGTTTATGATTCTGCCAATTATTATCCTCAAGGGACGATAGCATCCAGCTGTTTTACATGTGCTGAAATGTTCAATAGTATTTATAAATGTTATTATTCTTGTGTCTTCTTTCTCATCTACCGTCACCAATATGTTGTTGACTTTGCCTCCAAATTTTGTTCTTTCGCCAGATTAATTAACATTTCTTCCAAAAAAGAAATAAGTGGAGGTAAGAAGGTCTGATCCAGTGAAATTTACACTCTTTGGTTGTCATTTCGGTCACGAAATGCTACATTTATTCTTTTTACTTTGAGTATATGTAGTTAAATCAAAGGATGTAGACAGTGGAGGGGCTGGTTCAGGAGACACAGCAAAAGCAGGAACGGCAGCTTTTCTTGTAGAGCTTGAGAAGCAAAGAGCTATCAAGGCAGGTGTTTTTCATTTATCGCAGATGTATTTAGAATGATATTTAGGTAAAGCTTATTATGTATTTTATCAAAATTTCCAATAAAATTATACTTATTTTATCAAAATTTCCAATAAAATTATACACTTTGGCCATTTTTGGACACTTAACACACCAATCATTAATAAACATGCATATACGTGTGTATGTGCTAGACGAGTTCTGATGAAGAGCGTGCTCAAGGTGTATACGTTATTCACCATTTGCTTGAACTACCTGAGAATTTTCTTGAACTCTAAAATTAATTCCCCTCTAAGGTAATACACTCTCAACTTTTGCTGCAGGTTTTTGGGAAGAGTACTTTCGTCGGATTGGCCATAACGTTCTTTGCTGGCCTTTGCTTCTCTTTATTCTCACCGTTATTTAACTTGGCAACGAACGACCAGTGGCATGCTTTAAAGGAAGGGGTTCCTCATTTGACTGTTTATACTTCCTTCTTCTACTTCTCTGTCTCCAGTTTTGTTATTGCCGTTGTTCTAAACATCACCTTCCTTTACCAAACCATCTTAAATTTACCCAAGTCATCTTTCAAGGCTTATTTGGCAGACTGGCACGGCAGAGGCTGGGCCTTGTTGGCTGGTCTCCTTTGTGGACTTGGCAATGGTCTCCAATTCATGGGTGGGCAAGCTGCAGGATATGCAGCAGCAGATGCTGTTCAGGTGATTTTCTTTAATGTTTGCAAAGAGTGAAAATATCGTATTCTCTTGGGACCTATTTGGTACATAGAATAACAGAATTATGTACCATAAATGAAATATAGAAACTTGCGCAAGTCCCGATCTTTTACCCTTGCAGTTGAGCCATTAACTAACCTTGGGCTACAGTCCAAACATAAAAACTTGTTATGCTTTATCCCTCACTAGGCCCACATGAACAATCATGCTTGTTTTTTTTCCTTTTTAATCATAATACAACAAGGATTGTTTTTAAGGGAAATCACTGTGAGGTCTCAAGAAAGGAATATAATTACTAAAAAGTGTTAATGACAAGTGAGCATCATAGATCTTGTTATTTCTTGCACTAGAAATTGTCATTCAGTTGTTATGGGATTTTTTAGCAATATTTCTTCCTTGGAACCATGTAATGAATTTCCCTTCTTCTTATAAGACAATAACCATGATTGAATTTGGATGAGCAGGCACTTCCACTAGTGAGCACCTTTTGGGGCATTGTTTTGTTTGGGGAGTTTCGGAACTCATCAGGAAGAACATATATACTGCTTGGGAGCATGTTGTCTATGTTTGTAGTAGCTGTTGCTGTACTCATGGCATCATCGGGTCAAAGGATTAATGATCCATTAGCAGCACACAAATTGGTTGTAAATAATTGATGGCTGCATAAATGATGGATTCAGCACACAGCAATAGTCAAAGGATAAGCATGCATGTGCCTTGCCTACAGTTTGCTTCGAAGATGCAAAATGTGCACGAGCACCATAGTTTTAGACTACAATAGCTGTTCTTGTCCCAAAAAAGAAATACAAAAGAAAAAAAAAGAAGCAAAAAAACAAGGTGGAAGAAAGATAATACCGTACTATAATAGATGTCATGTGCCTAGAGTGAATTACTCAGTGTTCATTGTCCTTATTGAGTCAACGAAAAGTGTACATAAGCAGAAATCATGAAGTGAACGGGTTTGAAATCCTTTGATTGAGCCTTATATGTTGTTCTACTTCTAGGGTTCGGGTTTGCAACCCTGTGCAAAATGATGTACTTTTAATTTGTATCTTATTTCTTCAATTTCTCTTTGAATAACAAGGTGATGATACAATAACCTAATTAATCAACGTATTCATTGATATATTTTTTTTGGGACAAAAATTCATTGATAATTTTCAGTTGTATGTAATTTTGGAAATTATAAATTCCTAAACAGAGTATATATTGCCTGTTTGGTTGGGTAATTCAGTAGTTCAAAAGTAACTTGTGGATCTGACAAGCACCTTTGCAATCACGCACCTATTTGGTTGAGATTTTAGCCCATTTTATTTATAGGCCAAAAACAATATTAAAAGTATGGTCGGCTTTAACTAGAAAAAAATTACTTATTAACCGTGCTTGCTGTTGGTAAGAACTGTTATAATATAATAATTACTTTGTCCGAAACTATTTTCTCACTCTTCTCTCTTATTCAGCTCCCTCCTTCTCGACTGCAATGAACCGCTTTTTATGTACTTCTGTCCAAAATTGAAAAAGCAAACGCTCTGGAACTTCCAATAGGAAAAGCATTAATGCATATACCTGGAAGACATTCAGTTCGGAAAAAGTTTGAAATGTGTGTCTATATTTACATAAGCAATTTATAATTTTTAAAATTATGTTTCGTTTTATATTTATAAACTCTTTTTTTTTAAATATTTCTAATTTTTTAAAAAACATTTCAGTCATTAAATTTCACTTTTTCCTATTAAAATAATTTAAAGTTATTTTTTAAGTAAATTCAATTTTTTATTATTTTTCATTATTCAATAAAAGTCACTCATTTTAATGATTTTACAAACTAAACTTACTTATTTAATCATAATCTAAATAACTTTTTTATTTTTACAAATCAATTTTTGTAAAATCAAATCTAAACATAAATATATTACCCAATCTAACTTTTCTAAAAACCAAATTGAAAATAAACTATTTTTCTACCCCCAATCCAAACAAACCCACAAGGATCAAAGAAACAAAGTAACTTTTTTTGTTTTGTTAAAAAATGAACTGCAAAAATTCTTAGGTGCATGAAAAATATGGCATTTTTATTTTTTATTTTTGAAGTTTCCTTTCAATTTTTGTGGGGGTTATATTTTTTTCAGTTGCATCTCATTTTTTCAGCATTCACTTAAACATAAGCAAATTACAGTGATAAACGCCAAGTAAAATACGAGGGAAAAAAGTGTAAAGGTGGCTAAATTCAAAGAACAGAATGCCTAATTTCAGGCAGAGGGGCTATCTGCTTTAATTAAAAAAAAAAAAAAAGACAAGTCATTATATTGCAGAGAAGTTTCTGATATTCAAAATCATACCGTAGTAATATAGCATAAATAACATCATATTCTCATCATAAACTCATCAAAACTAAAGAACTAGTCAATTTTTTCCTCCAGTGGATCATAGGTCCAGTTAGCCCTCCAAATAATTGACGGCGATAGAAGCCGTTCAGTTTTCCAACCTGATGACTTGAGCTGCACAATGAATGTATACTTAGTCTTCAAGTTAGTGATGATATATGTGAGCAAGAGTAAATTTGATTTATCCAGAAACCTAAACAATTACCTTCTGAATAAAAATGTCATACTGATCATCTATCCACAATTGACTCTCCGCATGCAAAGATTTGCTTTTACCACTTTGATTTGCCATAACAATAGCATGAATAAATGACTTCAAGACATTGGCCGCATCCGAATCCTTATGAGTTACGACGTGAATGATCCCCTTCCTTTCCACTAGCAAGTACTTAGCTATATATATAAGCAACGAATGAAGAAGGAGTTAAGAATTCTTTGGAATGTGAAAACTCAGTAGCCAACATAACATATTGGGGCAGCTGAACTGACCTTTTGCATAGTAAGGTGCTGCAGAAAGCAGAGGCTCCAATCTGTTACAAAACGTTATTTTATTGTCAGCATTATACAGAAATGGAATTTGCTAATTGTACTCTCTAATACTGTACAAGAACCAGGTCCTGATCTTGGCTGATCATTTGGCTTGGAGACAACACTAGATGAGGTACACAGAGCCATAGTTAATTTTTTTTTTTTTTTTTGACTTAATACAAGATTCTGAGGTTTTGTTTGTTTATTATAACACAACAGCAACCTGTTAGGTTTTGAGCTATTGGAAGTAAGAACTAAGAACACAACTCTGTTATCATCCTATATGGAAAATGGGTAATGGTAAAGGCTGGTAATTATGCGGCAAGACAGGAGTTCAGACACAGCACCAACACAGGTATGAGATGATAATACACAAACCAATTGGGCCCCAATGCAATAGATGGAGCTTGAAGAATGAGCCACATTATTAATGACTTGTGAAAAGTGTAACTAACTAAAAGTTTTATAATAATGATGCTTGAGAAAAAGTTTGTTTTCCTCAATTGCAGCCCAAAAAAATGTTGGTCAACGGAAATACTCACGTTTCCTTGTTTTTGAATAAAGAAACCCTTGTGCCCAAACGTACTTGCAGATGCAGTAAATTAGCATTCTTGGAGCTCCATGAAGTAAGCTGTAAGGGTAAGATGTGTTCCAATGACGATACCTGTTCAGGGGTGAGAACTGGCAAAAAGTTCAGAAGCGAGCATCAATACTCAAAAATAAAAGAAATGATATCCAGCTAGCTTTACAGTGCTGGAAACTGTTTTCTCCTTCATAGGCTGCTGAGAATGGTCAATTTGTCCTTATTTTTTAAAGTCCACCACATGGCCTTTGGTGATCCAGATGTTATGCTAAGATTGAAAACGGTAATGCATAACACTTGATGTCGCAGATGTTTTGATCACAGGGTGACAATTGGAATAGAAAACAGACAATACCTTGACCAGTCTTCATGAAATGCTGCAAAAGAATTGAGCTCCTTTCGGGGTTTAGTGAGGTTAATGCAAGGCATCGAACAGCTTGGTAATTTGCTGCACAAAAGAGAAAACTGCTGAATCAGGAGTATTATGCAGAGCTGGGGAAAAGCTATACATAGAAATGGGTAGAATTAAATTCAACAGATGAGGCTATCTTCAGATAATATATATATATATATATATATATATATTTTGGTAACATCTTCAGATAATATTGTGCTGAAGTGACCAGACAGTTTTCCCCCACATCAAGAGGGTTTGAACTTTTAATTTCTACCCACACCCCATCCTATTGCCACCTGAGCTAACCCTGGGTGGCTAACCAAATAGTTTTTTAATTATCAATTACCAATTTGCCCCAAAATTTGACGCTAGTAGGAAATGGAGCAATTGCCAATATAAGAACATTCATAACCTCTTTTCTCTCGATGAGGTCCAGATAACAAACAGTTCCACACTTGCTTTTGCATTTTGTTTATCCAGCAAAGCAAGTAGGATTTATTCATAATACTAAACTTTTTTCTTTTTCTTCAGAACTTTAAGACGCAAAAAGAATTGTGTAAAGAAAATTACAACTTAGAAACTTACCAAATACATGGAACAGGGTCAGAGACAAGAAACAAAACCATATGGCTAGTGGTCGTTCCATTGTAATGTGAGCAAGAAGCATACCCAATGCCATGCCAACCATGGTTGCCACTGTTTCTTGACTTCCTTCCTATAGATAAAAGACGATCAATTCTGTCATCCAGAGCAAACGCTCAGATTTTAAAATAAAAGTTAGAATAAGGCAACTAATACCTTAGCTGATATATCTGCAGCATTATCCTGAAAGGCAAAATGCTGAGTCAGAGCTGCTCTTGTCGCACCACTTGCAACACCAGCTAACCAAGAACATATTTTTAAGGGACATAAATTAAATAAACAATTAGGATCTCATTAAAATTTTCAATCAGAAAAATACTTCTGTTGAAGAGGTTCAATGGTTAGCGCATATTAGATTAATTGAAGTCATTAAATATTTCATCACATAAGATGTCTAATTTGATAAATAAAAATTTTATGAAGAGGGGGAGAAGTGATCATGGAGTAACTGACTTCGTATCAGTGTCTAATTTTAACTTCTGGAAAAGTGGGAACTTACTGAACGATCTTGATATACTTCCAAGGCAAACAATAACCACAAAAGCAGATGGAAACAATGGGGAGACAAGGTCCATTAGCATTCCTACAATCCATGCAAAAAGCTTCACAAATCAATGTTAGACATGAAGCATGGATCTGGGAGGTCAGATTAAACACAAACCAGCAAGATGAAAGCTGCACAATAGAAATGTTGCTGGTTTCCCCTAAATAACTAAATAAATAAATAAATAAAAGTAATTGTTTAAGCATAAACGGCCTAGTGTGGTTTTAAGAATGGAAATTATCCCTTGAATAAGAATGTGGAAACAAGTTTATCATATTTAGAGCACTAAAAAGTATGTACCATATTTAAGCCTGTACAAATCCAGAAATGTATTGGCAGTCACATCAATGACTAATACTGTAAAATTATTACGAGCGCTTCATGACCAAACAAGTCATCCGTTTATGCTTCAGGTACAAGAATTGTATAAAAAAATGGGTTCTTCAATTCAAACAAATAATAAAGATGAAAGCACAAGAATGTACCCAGATCATTCATAAGATCTGCAACCAAACGCCACCTTTTTGCATTGCTATCCAGGTTTGACCCCTGCATGTTATCACGTTACTTAGCATCATAGGGAACATGGATTTGAAGTTCAAATCATTTGAAAGTAAAGAACCATCATATGATATAAGCCCATGGCAACTCGAGTGCAATATCCCTCACAGAAGTTACTAACATTCCAATGTTAAATCTCTTCTCTTTATAACTAATTTAGTATGCTTTTCATTCAGTAATAAATAAGGAAGTGAGAGATGCAGACCTGGTAGAATGTGAATAGGATACCTCCAAGCATGCCAGTTAGATCCCTCAAAAACCACTGGAAATAGTTTTAACATTTAGGGGGAAAAAAGTCAACATACTACAGTGTAAGAAACGTAAAAGCTTCTCCCAAGCTCCGTCGCAACTGTTGGAGTTCAGTCAATAATCATGAAATACAAAATGAATGGTACGTGGATAAAATTACTTGGGTGTTAGCTATCAAGTTCTCCAATGCTATACGTGAAAATATTAGCATGTTGGCAATTTACACCAACTC